CATAGACCCAGCACGCATTAAAGTCGGGGTCAAAGCAGTTCGAAATGTAAGAAAAGGAGCGGTTCTGATAAAAGTAGACAAGAAAGAGGAACTAGACATTCTGGAAGACGCGATAAAAGAAAACTCTAAGTTAAAAAAGATTGTAGAGACTAAAAGACCAATTAAATTCAATCCTAGGATAGTAATATACAACGTAGACAAAGACCTAGATAAGGACTTAATAAAAAAAATCTTAACTCAAAATCCAGGGATAGAAAACGCTGAAATAGAAATACTTTTCCCTATGAAAGGCAGATTCGGTAATAACTGGGTAACCTTTATAGACCCGACCAGCTTCAAAGCAATAATGAAGGCTAAGAACATTAATATACAGTGGACCATGGATGGTGTCAGGGAATTCATTCAAGTTTCTCAATGCACAAAATGCTTAGGCTATAACCATTTAGCAAAAAAACTGTACAACACATCCTCGGTGCACAAGATGCGGATCAGAAGAGCATTTAAAAAATGAGTGTTACGGACAAACTCCAAGATGCATTAACTGCCACAATGTAAACAAACTGGAATAGGACTGGAAACAAACCACGATAGTAGAAGTAAACAATGCGCATGCTACATTAACCCATTAGCCGCTGGTGTTGCGTTGACGCAATGGTCAAAATAAATGCGTATATAAATAAAACTACTTAAGATATTTTATACCAGAAAATGATTTTTTGTAGGGAATATTATGAAGATTATTTCTGTAAAAAAATATTTGCCTTCAACAATCATTTCGTTTATAATAATTAATCTCATACTTTAAGCAAAATTTTCGACCGGGTATTTTTGCTGAAAATATTTAACGAAAGAATCAGCGTCTTTATGAGTGATCTATTTTTAGTCAAGGTCACCTTTTATCAGAACATTACATCAGTCAGATGTTTATATTTGTGTTGGGAAGCAAGTGAAAACAGGTGTTGCGCTGACGCAACGTCAGCAGGAAACGGGTAGTCAATCTCCTTTTTCACTAATTCCTTTCGATGTTCTGGTTCATGTTCTGGTTGTTTAAAAATGCCCAGAACTAGGTATCTTGCATTAGAAGAAGCCCTTCAAAGATTTTTTGATGAAGAAACAGATGATGATAATGTTAGTAATGACCATAATGGAACTGATAATGTTGTCGTTCCCCCAGAAATTGCAGAAACTAGTGACGAAACAGAAAGAAATGGCAATGTTTTAAATAATGATAATGATATTTTACCAAATGATACTGCTGGGGAAGTTGAAATTCAAGTAAGAAGTAAGTTTCAGCCTTCTAAAAGCAGTTATAGTCATACTAAAAAAGTTTAAAAAGCAGAAGATTGAAATCTTGAAGTGGATAAAAAAGGAACTGTTAGTTATGTCTCAGGAAAAACATAAAGAAAGAGATAGAAGAGAAATTATATAAGACAAAATACAAGGTAAAACTAGTGCACAGATTTTCGATTTTCGTTTTGGATTAGACATTTACTCTCTTCTCGCTGAACAGACAAATATATACGCTCAGCAAAAAAAAAAAAAAAAAAAAAGGGCCCCGATTTTTTTACATCTGAAGCCTATATCAGAAGATTTATTGGAATATTATTACTTACAGGATATTATTCTTTACCTCAAGAAAAAATGTATTGGTATTTTGATAAGGACATTTCTGTTCCTGTTGTACGAGAATCGATATCACGTTTCCAGTACAGGAATATGAAAAAGAATTTTCATTTGACAGTAGTCAAATTGACAATACTGATAAATTATATGAGGTGAGACCGTATCTAAACTTACTAAATATCACCACTTTTTACTACTGGAAATATAAAATCTCTTAGATTTCAGACGCGAGAATGCATTATTCCTTTTGCAAACTCCTATTGAGAGTGTAGAATTAGCCAGAAATAGATCAGCAACAGGAAGACCTAGTAAATTCAGCATTCAAAAACCATTGCATGGAGAGGGTAGGCATTTTATCGTAAAATCCGTTGATAACAAAAGACGTTGTTGTAAAGAGTACCATAGCCAGACTGTTTATAGATGCAAAGTATGTAATGTAGCTTTACATCATGATTGTAGCTTGAATCTTTGAATTGAAATAATCTGTATTTGTAAAAGAAATACAATGTATATTTCAATATTAAATTAATTACAAGTAAAGTGATTTGTAGATTTATAAAACGTTATACAGCTAAAAAGTAATCCTGCGCTCCACTCAAAAGAAACATCACACGAGTACAATCCTACTCACTAAACATCCGTAGTCTTATTCCGCTGACGTTGCGCGAACGTAACACTTGCGTTTTCCACAGGTAAGAGCATTTTTTTTTATTTTCAATGTAAATTTATGTTATAAATGCTTAATTTAATATTTGTTATTATTTTTATGAGAAAAGAAACATTCCTTGTAGTTTTGGCGGTTAATGGGTTAAGGAATTACAAAGATATAAGCAAAGAATAAATTATGAGTAATTTCACAGCAATTCAGATAAATCTTCAGCACTCAAGGGTTGCGAATACATTCTTAAGAGACTACTTAGAAACAAATAGTTGTATAAAAATAGCATGCATTCAAGAGCCCTACACAAAAGACGACCAAATACGTGGTTTTCCACTATACTATAGGAAGTATTACGCAAAAAATAGAGCAAAAGCAGCAATTATTTTAACAGATAGCAGAATCCCAGCATTAGAACTGTACAGGAACGAGACAATATGTGTAATAAGGATAGAGGGGAGTGCCCCATTCATTATGATATCGGTCTATTGTCCGCCTTCACAAGACATAGATCCAATTCTCAGCACATTAGAAAGTCAAATAGCGAATCAAAAAGACATCCCCATCATCATCATCAGCGGGGACTTTAATTCTAAACATTCAATATGGAGCCCAAATCACCCAGATCCAAGAGGACTAAAGGTATGCGATTTCTTAGCTACCACGGACATGAGTATCTTAAACGATCCGGAAAGCCCCCCAACATTCTCAGGTGCCAGAGGGAATTCCTGGATCGACCTGACACTCCTCAAAAGACATAATCAATTAGCGATCATAAATTGGAAAGTTATAGAAGAAGCAAACCTAAGTGATCATAATTTTATAACCTACGAAATAACAAATATAGAAGAAGGGCATAACTTAAAATGAAACTCTACTAGGTGGACTGGTTAGAATTCAGACACACGATAAAAAGTAAATTTCAAAATAACAGCGACACCAGATTGAGAATCATAAAAGATATAGACAAACAAATAGAAGACACCGCCGTCCTAATTCAGGAGACATACGACGCAACAGAGAAAACGCAATTAGGCCAAATCCGACACCACAGAAGCAATCCATGGTGGACAAAAGAATTAAACATCCAAAGATAGAAGGTACGAGCTCTAAGGCGCCGTTACCACCGGACTCCTGATTCAATAAGGAAAGATTTCCGTCTTAAATATAAGATCGAACAAGCTAAATATAAGAAATAATTTTCAAAGCAAAAAGAGCTTCATGGGACGCATTTTGGCAAAGCCTACAGATCACATCCCCCTTTGGCACTTATTGATATTTGCCAAAACGGGCAAAAGATTAGGTCCCCTCCAACTAAGTGCCATCCAAAAGGCTGACGGCACCCTAACTTCCACCATAGAAGATACATTAAAAGAAATTCTAAGTTTCCACTTTCTCGACTATCCAAGCGTCAATGATACGGATGAGAACAGACGAATAAGACAGAGAGCAACGAGTCCCATAGACACTCCACATGATGTAGACTTTACGAACATAGAGATAAGAAAAGCAATAGAAAGCACAAAGAGAGGGAAAATGCAGAGTTAGTTCTCTTCAAAAAGGAAGGAAAGAACCCCAAAGACCCCAGCGCCTATAGGCCAATCTGCCTCCTCTCGGCCTGGGGCAAAGTTTTCGATAAGCTTCTGACACAGCGTCTAGTACATCACTTAGACTCAAATAACCTACTTCACAAAGCACAATACGGATTTATAAAAGGTCAAAGCACGATAGATGCCCTTGAGAACCTACAAAAGATCATCAACGAGAACAAAGCAAATGGGCTGCACACATGCGTCATAGCTCTCGACGTCACCTCGGCCTATAACAGGCTCTGGTGGCCAGGTCTAAAGGAGCAATTAATAAGACTCAAATGCCCCAATATCTACAAGCTAATAAGCAGCTATCTTCACGATAGAGTTATAACTTACCAAAGAGACGGTGTTCACATCACACACACTTACCAAAGAGGAGCGCCACAGGGGTCTAACATCGGCCCGACCCTGTGGAATATCATGGCTAATACGGCTTTAGAATTAGATTTGGAAGACACAGCAAGTCTTCAAGCTTATGCTGACGACTTCATCTTAGTAATTAACGGGGGTAACAGACTTATTATAGAACGGAAAGCAGAGAAAGCTCTCTCCATTATTTCTGCGTGGAGCTCAAAGTATAAACTAGATTTTAGCATAAATAAAACTAAGAGTGATAATCTTTCCAAAGGGCAACAAGATAATTAACAGTCCCCCCAGGATAAAATGGCACGGCCAAACATTAAAGAACCAGGGCACTCTCAGATACCTCGGCTTCCTATTGGATAGCAAACTAACGTGGGTTCCCCACCTATCAGATATAAGGAACAAGACTTGCAAGATAATAATAACTTTAAACCGAATAATAGAGTCCAAATGGAACTTAAAAAGTAGACTAACGAAAGACCTGTACCTAAGGGGAGTCGAAAGAATGATTCTCTACGGCTGCCCCGTATGGATGCATGGCACAGCGAGACAAAGACAAAAACTACAACAAATCCAGAGGATCGCCCTGTTAAAGATTACAAAAGCATTTTTACCACCTCCACTGCCGCCCTCCACATCCTAGCCGGCACACTCCCATTAGATCTCAAAGCGGAATTCGAGCTAGTCACATACAGACTTCAGAACTTCAAAAAATCAGCGAGACTAGAGGGTTCCATTCTCCTCGAAGAAGCTCTTTTAGAACCATGCTTCAGTACAACATCCCTACATCCAGCCTCCCTCAGAGACTTCAGAACTTCAAAAAATCAGCGACACTAGGAGGTTCCATTCTCCTCGAAGAAGCTCTTTTAGAACCATGCTTCAGTACAACATCCCTACATCCAGCCTCCCTCAGAGACTTCCGATGGGACAAACATTCCCCGTCCGATCAGGGATTAGAGATCTTTACCGACGGGTCTAAAGACGACAAAAGAGTAGGCGCTGCTTTCGCAGTTTTCCACAATAGTCAAGAAATTTTTCAAGATCACTTCAGAGTCAGCGATCATGCCACAGTTTTTCAAGTGGAATCCCTAGCACTTAGGAAAGCTGCCCTCTGGGCAAGCAGTTCAGATTTTAACAAGATCTCTATCTACACAGACAGTATGAGCGTCCTACAGAGTATGAATAAGACAGGCACAATTCCAGCGCATATTCAATCCCTAAAAGAGCTTGTCTCTACTCTGAGTAATACAAAGCAAGTCACCCTTCACTGGGTAAGAGGTCATCAAGGGACAAGAGGGAACGAACGGGCAGACACTCTCGCAAAGGCCGCCACATCTCGCCAAGACTTAGATATCTGCCTTCCGATCTCCACGAGAGCAGCCAAGCATCACATCCAAGAGGCTTTCATGTCACAATGGCAAGAAAGATGGGAACAAGGGGACACCGGAAGATACACCTTCGCAATCTTCCCAAACGTCAGGCTGTCAAGAGTTTACTCGAACCACTACACGGTTCAGACCCTTTCCAATCATGGAAGGTTCCCCCAATATTTAGAGAGGTTTCTATATTTACACGTCAAGTGCAGTTGTGGATCACCCGCCAGCTCAGCAGATGCCGTCCATTACATCACTTCATGCCCACTCACCAAGTCACTTAGATCTCCAGCCAACATCGCCCTACTCCATAGCAAAGGTCTCAGAAGTTACCTAACGGATTTCTAAGGTCTCCATGAAGTAAGACAGATTGTCAGCTTCGTCAATGACAACAAGACCATCATACAAGTCATACCAGGTTAAAACTGACGATATGTAAAAGGCAGCATGCCTTATATAAACATGTAAATAACTCACTTTTTCATATATATATTCAAATTACTAATCAAACTTGTTTTCACTAATATAACTATTCAATGTAAGTTGGAAAAACCAACATCAAATTGTGATTATAAATGTAATTTGTTTTGTAATTAATCAATAACGAATGATCTGTAGTGCCCAATGAGAGGCGAGGCAGGCTAAAGATAATAATAATTATTATTATATATAATAACCTCACGAAAGTTTAGTTAAATGTAATAATGATCAGAAATAAACTAAATGAAGCTACAGGCTCTACTCGTATTTCTTGGCGGGCCCACCAGCGGCCGAGCGGTAACGTCGCTGAACACTGGTAGTTCGGTCCGAAGTTCGAATCCCGCGAACGGGCTGGCTGCATGGGCGTTTTCGTGGTTTTCCCCATGTGTAACGTGTATACGAGCCAGTTTTTCTTAGAAAGTCCTCCACGAAGGCATCCCTCCCTTAAGGCAGAGAGCCCTCGAGTGCTTTGCCGTAATCTAACAAAATCAAACCAAACGTATTTCTTGGCAGACTTATTTAAATGCGTTCAGGTGACTAGCATTAGTTACATTTGAGACTTTCCATTAATTAGAATCAATTTTCGATTAACTAGGACCTGAATAACCGGGCTGCGAATTAACAAAGCCTTTCCTAAAAAAGGCATTAGGTTTGTTCATTGATATATTAAGCATGAGCATAAAAATAAAATTTCTGCAGGAAATACAAAAAGAAAAGGAAATTCTTGTTATAACTGGCTGAAATAGCAGATGTTGTAACAGTACTTAGGAACTATTTTTATCCGTTACGGTGCATAATTTAATTGCATCTAATTGGGCATATATAAATGTTACCAAATAAGGAGCTCAAAATCAATTGCTAAATCGTAAAAATTAATTAAAGTCACAACACATTAATTCTCTGTTCCAAATTGATTCTTATTAATGTAAACAAAATTATTGCTCTTTCGGTTTGAAAGTGTGTTTTTATTTTAGATGTTGAGATCATTTACATAACTATCTAAACATACTCTCCAAATTACGAGTGAGATAGTGAAATGTATTTTTCCGTTGCTTACAACATGAATTATTAATGTTTGTTTTGTGTGTTTTTAAACTGATGTCGGATTAAACAAAACTAGGGGATAATCGAAGACTTCACCCACAGTATTACCCTGGTAGTAAAGGTCTATTCTACTTAATTTGTCCATATAGTTTTTATTTATTACGCAAAATATAGCTATTAACCACTTCCGAATTCAATGTGGCAAAAATTCAACAACCTGGATGTTCTGCAATTTACTAGAGTGAAGGTTTAACTTGATGGCATATTTGAATTTTCAAGTTTTTTCATAGAAGGCGTACTGCATATCCATAAAAAAATACAACATTATGTCTTATAAATTGCATCATTATTAAATGAAAATATTAATCAAAAATTAGATTTTGAAATATTGTCGTAATTTGATGCGACTTTCTTAAGAAGAATGTAAGAATGTTTCGAATTGTGAAATTAAAAGCAATATTAATATTTTTTCCAGAAAGCTTATTCAAATTAAGCTTCAAAGTGAAAAGGGAAATATAAAATGTGCATAGGTTCATTTTAAGTAATGAGTTTGTGTACTTTAACTCAATTCTCTTATATACAATGTAACAATACCTTAGATTAAAGACTGCAGTAATCACTAAGGCTTCTTGATCACGATTTCTGAGTTCCTAGTGCTTAGAGCGAGGCAAAGAGGCATCATCATTCAACTGCGCAGGGTTACAGAACAATTACTGATCCGTCTAGATCATTGATTAAATCTCTGTCGGATTGACAGAAATACCTCATAGCTGTACTGACCCAATCAGGATTTCGAGATTAAAAGGAATCTTACTGATAGACTACAGTTACTCGATTCTGGGATAAGATCCCTTGTTTTAAACATTACTCACTGAGACCCTGATTAAATGCTACAGGAAATACAGTAAAAGTAACCTGAGAATTATTTAAGCCGAGAATTCTGATTTCTGAATCTAAAGCATTATTTCATTTAAAGATTTTTTAGACGTTTATAGGTTTTGGCGTAACAATTTTTTCTTTTAAAAGCTCAAAATCTGAGTATAGCATTTCCTTCTTCTGATAATGTAAAAAGATGTAATAAAGTAGAAATCCTTTTCTTGAACAATTAGTAAAGACTAGAGATATAAAACTATGGTTGTCTTCAAACCAAGCAATTTAAAATTATTTAAATGTTACATGTATTGGTTTAATTGGTATCTGTCAGTTTATTACAAGATTTAACTTTCAATAATACAAAGATACATAAACTTAACAGTTTTTATCAATATGCAGCACTAACACAGAACTTAACAGTCATTGTAAATATACAGAACTAATACAGAACTTAATAGTCGTTGTAAATTTATATACGTTGAAGAAACATTTTTGATAACTTAACAGCTTTTGTAAACTGCAGCTAGTTGAAAAACTGGTTCGAGTTCCTGTCGGTGCGAAATATTACATTAACATCAATGATAAGAAAAACAATACGAAATGTCTTCTTGTCGTTTTCAAAATCTTCAAAGCAAATTTTGATATGGGGAACCGAATTTCAAAACTTAAATTCAGAAGTTATATTTCAGTATCTTGAAATGAAACCAGATTAAATGAAGCTAAATTTTTATAACTTAACACCACAAAACACAAACCCTGACAGTCGTATTTTAATGACTTTGTATTTTAATGTATTTTGTCGTATTTTAATGTATTTTAATGGATAATTAGCAGCAAGATTAAGGTAAAAAGGGCGTAACAGCAAGAACGTTTGCAACGTAACAACATTCTTTCATTTGAGCGATTATAAAAATTCAATACTTTTTCCTTTCCATGCTTATTATAAATTTACACATATTTGACATAATTGCAGCTTTCGATTCATGTTTAATCCTACCAAAGATATTTGCAACTTGATATTTAATGATGAAATTTACGATAAGAAATCCTGGTGTACCTAGAATATTTCTTGCCAGTGTGGCGCACAAAGATAGCCTTAAAATTTTGCGTTAAAGAACATCAGAATTATATCTGAAAAAGAAATATTTTAAATCTTCCACTATCCAGCATTGCTAGTCGGAAAATCACATTTTCTGTTTCTCCGCAATTATCAAAATTATTTCAAATATAGCTTTCCCTGGGAAATTACTTTTTTGAAAGCGTTTCACGTTCATAAAACTCTTTGGGTTCCGGTTAATGACTCCAGTTCTAATCTGTTTTAAATCTTAGTTTTTCAATAAATGATTTCTTAGATTCTCTTCTTTCAATGGATGGTGACAATCTCTCTGCTGTGCTATCACCAAGCTGAAATTTCTTCGAATATGTTTGTATGTTGTTATCGCGTTTAAATACCTTTCGCTGTTCTCATTTTCATTAGAGCAGCTGAAGAAAAAGATTTTGGTTGATCTTCGAAATTATGTCGATTCTTGATGCTAATTGTTAATAGCTTCAAAATTTGCATATCGGTTTCATTTTTATATTATAACACAAATTTAAAGACAACCTGTGCTAATACAGAAAAATGTAGCAGAATAAGGTACATTTTACATAGAAAAATGTCATGCTGTAAGGATTATTTTAATTTTATTAACTGTTAAATTTTAAGTTAAAGTTCCTTTCCTGTCAAATTAACTTCCTTAACTTCAACTTACTACTTCCGGCCAGAACGTAGTTTTGGAATCACTTTGAATACTTAATGAGAAGAAGCGGTATTTAAACCGTGAAGTTCTACTTGCTGACTTAAAGAGAGAGAATCAGAGTTTCTGATTTGTGCGCGTCTGCCTTTTGGCCACTCTCTCTCAAAGCTGTTATTACGCTCGCCTGTACTCAAGCCCTTAATAAGCTTCGTAGTCAAATAGAGATAAGGGCCCAACTAGATTAGAATCTTGATAGCTTATCAGGCTATATCTCTTTAGTTAATCTTAGTTTTAGTTTGTTTCTTAGTCTCTTAAGTTCAAGCCCAAGTCTCGACTTTTATTGTACACTCCAAGATGAAGTTTGTTAAATCTTATTGGAATAATAAAGAGTTAGTTACCCTTCCATCTTGTTGTTTCTTGTCACACGAACTTAAGCAATTATTAGCTAACTAGGTTTTAAGGTTACTCACTTTTGACTGCAATTACACAGTGATAAACCTCACAATGTTTAAAAGGTTATGGCTTTCGGTAAAGCACTGTAAAATTTGTGAATTTTTCGAAATATAGACTAATATTTATTTGGATTATATTCTATTTTGATATTATTTTTTATGATTTAATAGGCTTCAAAATCGCACTCAAGTGAACTTCATAATTAACATCAGAAAAAATCAAGGTCATACACAAGATATTTTGAGATATGAGATAAAATTACGTCAAATAGTTTCTGTATTTAATAAAATCATGTTTATAGAATGATTTCTTAATGTCGAGATGTTGAAAAAAGTTTTTATATGTTATGCAAAAACAAATTGAAAAATTATTCTAAATTAAACTTCTTACATGATTTTATTCCATGGAAATTTCTTAAAAATGCCCCTATGCATTTGTAAATTATATGACGCTCTAAGTTTGGACTGTGTATTGACATATAGCGTTTTCGCTTACAGTTCTTGAATATTGTGCAATTCTGCAGTTTAATTCAATTATAAATCAGCTAATGAGGAAAATTTAGAACATATGTTATGAGTATTATTTTATACTTATAAAATACTGCTGCATTTTTTACGCACGTGTTATGGTAGCGTAAGAGATAGTACAGCTTGTTAGCAATTGGGACATTTCTGTTTTAATTCCTGGTCTGCCTTTCTTAATTTCTGTTTTATTTCCTACACAACTGATTTTTCTTGTGGCCTGTTTCATTAAAAACTTAAT